AGGAAATGACTTAGAAGATGATGAAATTGAATCTATTCTGTTGAAAAGTTTGGAGAAACTTTATCAAATGGGGCAATGATATGGTACCACAATTTACCACCCAATTCCATCGATTTCTTTGCCATGCTTGTCGATTCGTTCGTAAAGTCACATGCCAGAGCGATAAAGGTCGCGACTAGGAAGTCGGACCTCTTCAAAGTGAGATAAAAGGATAATGAAATGCTAAAGGAATTCGTATCTCGATTTCAGATGGAACGCATGGACCTACCCCCGATTATCGATGATTGGGATGTCCAAGCCTTCACTCAAGGTTTGAACGAGCGAAGTTTGGTAGCATTACGTCATCTAATACAGAATTTGATTGAATATCTAGCGGTGACTTGGGCCGATGTACATAATCAATACCAGTCAAAGATCAGAGTCAAGGATGTTCAGTTGGGAGCCACTTCCGATTCCGTTTACCCAAATAGATCCAAAGACAGTATTCAAAGAGACATCGACAGAGAGTCCCGATCAAACAGAGATCGGTACCAACCATATAGTGCAAATCGTAGAAACAATGGACCAGGATGTAATCCCATTCGAAATGAACGAGGTCAAAATTCTTGAGGGCTCATGAGTAAGAGTGACTTTGATAAACATGTCGAGCCTAAAGAAGCACCACAGTTATCGAAATATAACTTCAGCATCGATACTTTGGGTATTGTGTCAGCCATTGGACGAATCAAGGATACTAGGTGGCCTAGACCCCTACAAACTGATCCAGCTCAAAGGAATCCAAATCAAATGTGCAAGTACCATGGAACCCGTGGTCATATAATCGAAGACTGCAGACACTTAAGGGCGGAGGTAGCTCGTTTATTCAACGAGGGTCATCTTCGAGAGTTTTTGAGTGACTGAGCTAAAAATCATTTTAGAGACATGGATGCAAACAGGAAATACGAACAGGAGGAACCACATCACGTGATTTATATGATCGTTGGTGGGGTCGATATTCCTCAAGGCCCGATATTCAAACACACCAAAGTGAAAATCACAAGGAAGAAGCGTACCCAGGACTACTTACCAGAGAATACCTTATCTTTCAGCGATGAGGATGCAGAAGGGATTGAACAGCCTCACAACGACGCACTAGTAATATCTATCCTTATGAATAAAATTCAAGTTAAACGTGTGTTAGTTGATCCAGGTAGCTCGGTAAACATTATTCGATCGAGGGTCGTAGAGCAACTCGGCCTCTAGGATCAAATCGTGCTTGCAGCTCGGGTGCTCAACAGTTCAACATGGCAAGTGAAACCACCAAAGGGGAAATCATGTTGCTAGTAAACGTGGCCGGGACTATCCAGGAAACAAAGTTCTATGTAATCGAAGGTGATATGAGATACAATGCACTGCTCGGAAGGCCTTGGATTCATAATATGAGGACATTACCTTTAATGCTCCATCAAGCATTGAAATTCCCAACATCAGAAGGGATCAAAATGGTGTAAGGCAAACAACCCACCGCCAAAGAGATGTTTGCAATCGATGAAGTAGTACCAGTATCAACGCTTTCGTCAATAAAGGGATCGGAGAAAGGGAGAACAAAAAATCAAATAACAACCACAGGCGCCAGCCTTGACCCCATCGAAGGAGCAAGAAATCTTCAAAGATGAAGAATATATGATACTCAAACCTTCATAACACCCGATGATTCTGATGCAACGAAGTCAATGGTCGAGGAAGTGGAACAACTTCCCGATCGAAAGGTATACCTGGGCACGAGGTTAACTCCCGAGCTCAGGAAAAAATTCATTCAATTCCTTTTAAATAACATGGATTGTTTTGCTTGGTCCCATCTAGATATGACAGGAATCCCATCGGAGATCACAACACATCGATTGAGCCTAGACCCAAAGTTCAGACCTGTAAAATAGAAGGGAAGGCCCCAGTCCTAGGTAAAATATACAGTCATAAAGGATGCGATAACTAAACTTCTCAAAATAGGATCTATCCGGAAAGTAAAATATCCAGAATGGTTAGCAAACTTAGTTGTAATCCCCAAGAAGGGGAACAAACTTAGAATATGCGTAGATTATAAAGATTTAAATAAAGCATGTCCGAAAGAATATTTTCCTCTACCCAACATCGATCGCATGATCGATGCCACGGCCGGCCACTAGATCCTTAGATTTCTCAATGCCTATTCTGGGTACAATCAAATTCAAATGAACCCAGAGGATCTGGAAAAGACTTCCTTCATCACTAACTATGGCACCTATTGTTATAATGTAATGCCGTTTGGGATAATAATGTTGGTGCTACTTGCCAACGCCTAGTGAATCGAATGTTTGAGGAACAAATAGGTAAATCAACGGAAGTATATATTGATGACATGCTTATTAAATCCCTGCGAGCAGAGGACCATTTGACACTTTTGCAGGAAATTTTCAACATATTAAGAAAATACAACATGAAGCTCAATCCTAAGAAATGTGCACCCGGGGTCGTTCGGGCAAGTTCCTTCGATTTATGGTTTCAAATCAAGGAATCGATATCAACCCCGATAAAATAAAGGCAATCGAAGAGATAACAGTTGTGGATAGCATTAAGGCCGTACAAAGATTAATTGGGCGGCCAACCGCCTTAGGTCAATTCATCTCAAGGTCTTCAGATCGAAGTCACAAGTTCTTATTGCTCAAAATGAAAAAAATAATTTTCTTGGACCCCGGAATGCCAACAGGCGTTGGAAGAATTAAAGCGGTATCTTTCGAGACCACCATTGCTTCATACTCCGAAAACGGACGAGCAACTCTACTATATTTAGCAGTCTCAGAGGTCGCGATAAGTGGTGTCCTAGTTCGAGAAGAGCAAGGTATGCAATTTCCTGTTTACTATGTTGGTCAAACTCTAGGTGAAGCCGAGACCCGATACCCACACTTAGAAAAATTAGCGCTTGCTCTAATAAGCGTCTCTAGGAAATTAAAATCGTATTTCAATGTCACCTAATTTGTGTTATAACCACTTACCCCCTTCGCAACATTTTGCACAAGCCCGAACTCTTGAGTCGGCTGGCCAAATATGCCGTTGAAATTAGTGGGTATGATATCGAGTATCAACCCCGAACGGCCATCAAGTCTCAAATCTTAGCAGACTTTGTGGCAGACTTCACGCCTGCCCTCGTACCCGAGTTCGAAAAGGAACTTTTGTTAAAAACGGGTACATTTTCAAGGGTGTGGACCCTTTTCACAGATGTAGCTTCAAATGGGAAGGGGTACGATTTAGGCATCGTTTTGAAGTAGCCCATATACAATACAATTAGACAATCCATCAAAACCCCTAAGTTGACTCACAATGAGGCCGAGTATGAGGCCATGATTGCAGGTCTTGAGCTGGCAAAAAGTTTGGGAGCAGAGGTCATTAAGTCCAAGTGTGATTCCCTACTCGTGGTTAACCAATTCAACAAGACCTTCGAGGTTCGAGAAGATCGAATGCATAGGTAATTGGACAAACTGCAGGTAACCCTACAGCATGTACCTCGAGAGCAGAATAGTAAGGCCGATGCCCTTGAAAATTTGGGGTCATCGGTCAAAGACAATGAAATTAGCTCAGGAATTGTCGTACAATTTTCAAAGTCGGTAGTCGAGGAAGGCCAAGCCAAAATAAACTCCACAAGCCTAATTTGTGATTGGAGGAACAAATAAATGAATTATCTAAAGAACGAGAAGATTCCGTCGGACCCTAAGGAATCGAGGACTCTATGAACGAAAGTTGCACGATTCATATTGGCCGAAGATGGAACGTTGTACAAAAGGATGCTCGATGGGCCGTTGGCAGTATGTTTGGGTCCGGGAGACACCCACTACATCTTACGAGAAATTCATGAGGGTACTTGCGGGAACCATTCTGGTGCCGAATCACTGGTTCACAAAGTCATCCGAGCAGGGTACTATTGGGTCAATATAGAAAAAGATACTAAGGAGTTTGTTCGAAAATGGGGAATAGATATCGTCGGCCTTCTGCCATCAGCCCCAGGTAAAGCTAAATACATTTTATTTATGACTGACTATTTCTCTAAGTAGGTTGAAGCACAGGCCTTCAAAAAAGTCAGAGAAAAAGAAGTCATAGACTTCATCTGGGATCACATCATATGCCAATTCAGGATGTGATCACGTAATTTTTGCCCTATGTGAAACACTCCTACAAATTAAAAAATTAAATTTTCCCAATTATTTGCAATTTTATAGATTTTTGTGTAAATTTGTGTTAATTGTTTGCATTCTTTGTGTATGTTTAATTTCCATTAAAAATTGTGAAAAACCCCACAATACCATGCATTGAATTTAGGTTTTATTTTTATATTTTTCGGATTAATTAGTTAATTATTTGTTCTATTAAAAATAAAAATTACAAAAATGACCCATTTTACATGTTTACCTTTTAATTGCTAGATTATTGATTTTCTGTTTGATTTAGGATTTAGGAATTTTATAACTTTTAGGAAATTGGTTAGTTTTACAATCTAGATCAATTTAGAATCTTAATTTAGGTTTTTAATTAAAGAAAAAAGAAGAAAATAAAAACAAAAAAGGGAAAAGGAAATAAAAAGAGGGTTAATTGAAAAGGGTTTGTTTTAATTTTATTGGGCCAAAGCCCAAATATTTCTGCCCAAACCCGCCCCAAAATCCGAGCCCAATACCCAAATACCCGGTCCAGCCCCACTATACCCAAAACGACACCATTTCGCCTTGACCTCATCTTAGTCGTTGGATCCTAGTGATCCAACGGTCCGCAACTAAGGACCTTCTAACTATAAAACTGTGCAAATGCCCCTCATACCCATCAACCCCCCCCCCCCCCCCCCCCCCCCCC